ATTCTTAAAAATTTCTTCTTCTTTAAACGTTTATATTTCACAATTTAACAAAGTTTGATTTTACAATCGTATTCTATCATATTTATTCTTCTAAAAAAAATTCGTTGAAAAATATAAATTTTTACCAGTTATAATTAAAAATATTTGAATGGATCTGAAAAATCTATATCTAGGTATTACAAAAAAATTAAAATTACATAAAGTGTAAAAATTAAGTATAAAAATCACATATTAAATGTAAAACTGATATATAATATATGTATGAAATGGAGATGTGTACATTTTCGTAATAAATCACGCGATTTTTATGCTTTATATAATTTTATATACTTTTTACGGTGCAGTGTATGGTCCACGTGTACAAAAATATAATATATAGTTCCAAGGTTTATATCATTACCGACCTGCTATAATCAATCAAATCAATAATTATAAAATAATGCAAAACGTATATCATATCGTGTGTACATATTTTACTGTTATATCCCATAGAATCATCTCATTTATAAGACGTGACACAGCGATAGAAATCGGCGCGCATTTAATCGCGCGTTTTACGGTCGGTGCATTTAACAGGGAGGTACGCAATTAAACACGCCGATGCAATTAACCGAGATGAATGCAGTAAATGTATTATAAAAGAAACGTCTCGTTATTTGCATAAGAAGCTCGAGCAAATTTCAGTTTTCGCATTTGTATCACTTTCCCATGCTAATATACATACATATTTACTCCATTATGCATTAATTTTTTTTAATAAGAAAAAGATACATTTTTTCTCTCTCATCTATATACTTCACACAGTAATAATATAAAAAAATAATATATCTCATATATTTAATACATAATATTTAATAAATATACTATATATATCAACGTATATATTATACAATGTTATACGTTATTAAATTTACGTCTTTTTAAAACAACAGAATTTTCATTCAATTTTCCAATGATACGCTCTTCTCTGTCTCAATGTAAATTGACTGTTTTACACAACAACAAATTTATGGAAACCTGAATGCATTTCTCGCGTTACGCTCTCATTCACTCGTCGAAGAGATTCGATGGTCGATCTTTTTGTCTATTAACTTTTATTATCACAGCATGATGTTACTTTTATTAGATCAAATCATCTATCTCGTTAAATTTTAATGGGATCCGTCACACTTTCAAAGTTATTTTGTTCAAGTTGACATTTTAAATGCTCCCGATATTTCTAAAATAATGCATTTTACAATATCTTTTGCATTATTTAACATTGTCTTTATTCTATTTATATTTCTCACAAAAATTGTCTTAGTTTAAAAATAGAGATTTTAATCATATTACATTATATAAAAAAATTTTGTAAATTTTAAGTTCCACATAAATTTTTCAATTAAAATAATTTTTTTTGAATACGCGATCTTACATAGCAAATCATTAAGAAAATTTACGATGTTACTAGAATATCTTAAGATAATCTCACAACTAGCAAAAAAAATAAAGTTACTTAATGTACTTAGCAGTTACAAAATCGCCGTGCATTGTTTTACACGAAATATTGTGGATTTTGTGCGAATTCGCTTAATTATAAAACGAGCGTTTGATATGTTTATAATTGCTGTGTTTGATAAACAAACGACGAGCTACGTTTATTTGGTGCAAGAGTAACGTTGGTGCTAGTCTGCCAATTATCATGCAAATATTAATAATACAAACATTAATGTCGAATGAAACGATGTTTTGCTCCCTCCAATGCATCTTGCAAGAAAACAAACATTTATCGATTTATCGCTATTCTAAACATTTTCATTTATTTATCAAAACTATAACTTTTTATCTTTTGTGTATTTCAATTGTATTTTAATATATCGAATTTTTTTAAAACACATTTTTTTTAACTCTTGTTGACTTCTAGGATATTTTTTTTCTTTCTGTTTACTTATAAAAAAAATGCGATTTGATATAATAAGTATCATTAGGTATAATTTATAATGTAAGTAATTTAGAATATATACAGGATGTCTTATTTTAAACAGTTCAAGCAAATATCTCGAAAGCTGAGCCTGCAGGCAGGCAAAAATGTTTCAGACAAAAGTTGTATGGTCTGGAAGAGATACAAATAATAGTAAAATCAATTTTTGAAAAAAAAATCAAATTTTCAAGATCTGACATAAAGGTTATTGTTATTTTTTAAAATCAAATTGTAGGAATTTTTAAAAATAATATATAATTTCCTCTATAGTTATTGCTTGTCAGGATGGTTAGTTTTCGAGATATTCGGCTATTTAAAATAGAATACTCTGTATACAATAAATTTCTGATATGTTTCCTCTGTGTGTGCGTATGTGTCAAATATGCATTACATTCTTTTTTTCATACAAGTGAGTAAACGAAAAAAAAATCTTAGAAATCAACAAGAGTCAAAACGAATCAATTTCTCGGCGGAATGAAAATACAGAGCTTTCAACTGGATTGACTTTCATCAACTTTCTGAGGGATCGACTAGAAGGATTAGAATCATGGAAGATGGATGAATTTGAAATTCGAGTCGCTAATTCGAGTATTTGCATGATTTTATTCTCCTTTCTTTCAAGGACTAGGTATCTATTCATCTAGAAAAGCTTATTTGTGGTGACAATAAAAAGAAAAAAACGAATCAAAATTAAAATATATTAATAATAAATAATATATTAATAAAATATATTAAAATGTTAAAAATTATTACATGTAATGTTATATTTGTAACTTTCTTATATTAATAACCGGAATATTTTAGAAGACAATTCTATATATATATTTTTAATATAAATTCGAAATGCATTAAACTGTAAAACTTTGCACAAAGGTAAAATTTTTCCATTGAAATTTGTGACTATTTCGATATCTCAATCTCTTAAGTCGCTAGTCTTTTTTCTTGGTTATCCGAAAGAACAACTGGTGCCCTTGGATATATCATAGCAAAAGCGATAAAGCAATGATAACACGACGCTGAAAAGCGAGAGATATGTTGCTAGAAACCGGGAAACAAAATAAAGTGATGATAACACGACTAAGGAATGAAAGATTGTTAGTATGCTGCAGTGCAAGCATTTAAAAAATATCGTTGGAAAGATTTTTATCGGAACTCTGTTGCATAAAGGAAAGAAAAACGAACAATAATTTTATGAATTTTTTCCTTAAGATGATGCTCATAAAAGTAATAATATCATAT